TATGTCAAGGGATCTACAAGATGAATCTTATTATATTTCACAATCAAAAAAGATTCCAATAAAATGGACAGCACCAGAAGTAATTAGAAACTATATAATTAGAATATTGAATTGTGTATGTATAGGCATTACATTATAAGAAATATTCGAGTGCTAGTGATGTGTGGAGTTATGGAGCTGTAATGTATGAGATTTGGTCAATAGGATACAAACCATTTGAACTATATACTAACCAAGAGGTATTATGCTTACAAACTTTTAAAATTTTATTTTATTTTACTAATTTTAGTGCATTAGACTGGTTGATTCAGGCTATAGATTACCCCCTCCTCCAGGATGTCCTAAACCAATGTATAAACTAATGATACAATGCTGGTATGTATTTATTATACTGTAACTTAAAAAGTACCTATATATAGACATGCATAATTTGTAAAACAAACACAAACATCATGAAACATGACCTACTGGTGTCAAATTACTAATAGTCCATAATGACATTATATACCAATGCACTATACACAGTGCAGTGAGTGTACATCCTAATAATGTGAACTGAGTGGATTATTATAATCATACACAACCACCACATGCTTTCATGCACACCCACACACAATTAGTATATGTAATAGTGATTTCATCATTGTATTATATAGGAATCCTGATACTCATAACCGACCAAGTTTCTCAGATATATCATCAAGTCTATCCTCGCCTGATAAACAATTACTAATGATTAATAAAGAGGATCCTGTTACTGTACTGGGTGGAGCTTTAGAAACAAGCCACTCCCTCTACACCGACTTACAGTACATGTACAAGAACTGATTGATTGTGTTGCCAGTTTATATACTTGTACATTGTGTTTAATGTGTATAATATTGATTCTTTAATTTAGGTAAATAAGGCATCAGTTTTATAGTTAATGATGATTATTGTAAAAGGATTGGTTTATTGGTGAATATAATAGCTATTGAAGAATTACTGGTATTTAAGGTGTGGCTGGTTATGATGTTCATGGTAGTTGTGTTTTATAACAGTCAAGATGCTTCTCTCTCTTCTTTCTCTATTGTTGCTATTGTTAAATGGTACAGTACAGTCTAATGATTGTAGTACTGAAGGATTTATGGAACTAAGTTTACTGGAGGCTAAAACTGGCAGTACTAACAACAATGGACAAACTACTGCAGGACTAGCAGAATCAGTAGAAACAAGATGGATCATCACTGAAAAAGATAAGTGGTTCCATTGTAGTAAAAAAAATAGTAAACTGACTGAAGTATTAGTTGGAGTTGACATTAGAACTGTAACTGGTAATAGGAACCAATATCCTAGAATAGAGATATGGAGAGAAAAAGAAGGTGATTATAAAGACCCAGTATGTGTTGAACTTAGACTATCTCCACACAATTTCACTACCAATGGACTGTATCATTATACACTACCTACTCCTTTAACTATTAAGAAAAAGAATAAGGATTATACACTAGGAGTATATCAACCTCCTGATGATAGAAGTGTTGTTAGATTTTATAAAGTAACTGGTACTGGTCAAATTGGAAGAATAGATGATGATGATATTGATAATAATGATGAAATAGAAGAAGATGACATATCATCTGTGCCTTCAAGTATACTACTAATACGTCCAACTAAGCTAAGTATGTCTTTAATTTTAATAAAAATTATCTAAATTAATTTTTAATAGGTAGCAGTTGCAGTTATCCTCCAATTGACGGTTCATTTAATACAAGCAGTCTATCAGTTACTAATGTAATACCAGTCAATGATACAAGAGCTTTTCCTGATATAAAATTCACATGTAATGGTATTATTACTAACTGGATAATTGGTATTACACAGAATCAGACTACAAGCAAACATTATCCTAACATTTATTTAAAACGTTCTTCTGAACTGATTCATGCACTAACTGTTGATGCTTCTGCTGCTACATCAAGTAATGGTAATGTATATAACTTTACAAGTGATATTGAAGTAGAGTATGGAGATATATTAGTAATCAATGTAACCACTAATAGTAATCCAATGTATTATCAACAATACAATGGACCATTGAATTATGAGCTTGATAGCAGTAATGGATTAATACCATTGGAACATAATGACTATCCACTGATATCAGTTGTAGTAGGTAAGATATGTATTGTAATTCAATAGTAACTATCACTGCTGCTTTGTTGTTCCTTATAGAGCCAAGTCCATCAGTACTAGGAATATCCTCTACTATCATTACTACTGATACTATCCATACACAATTAACATACTCCCACACTCCAGATGATAGCGCTACTACAATAACATCAACTACTAATATGAGCATATCATCCACTGCCTCATTGGATTCTACACCATCATCATCTTCATCATCATCATCATCATCATCATCATCATCATCATCATCATCATCATCACCATCACCATCATCATCATCATCATCATCACCACCACCATCATTATCATCATCACCACCACCACCACCATCATCATCATCATCATCATCATCATCATCATTATTCTTGACCAGTTCCTCCACACTAATCACACCAACTTCAATAAACAATACACCTCACATCACAAACACACCTTCCCAATCATCAAATACTCTCCCTCCAATTCTTTCTGTCACTAGTCCTACTCCATCAATCAGTGATGGTACAGTCAGTCCTCCTCCTCCTATAGTATCAACCATCAGTAGTACATCAGTTACTGATAGCTCAACCAGTAATCCATCAGTTACAGTATCTACTGAAGGTACATTTCAAAACAGTACTGGCAGTAATACACTAGCAGCAGTGCTTAGTACAGTATTTATATTACTGGTAGTTACTATACTAGTGATATTAATAGTGAGTGTATTAGTGTATAAAAGACGACACCTAAAGCTAACATCAAGAGGTAATTCTCCAATAGATACAATTGAAATTGAGAAAGAATCAGAACTGATTAACATGTCTAATCCTACCTACCAAGCCCAAGGTATGTACAATGACAATCTTACACTGAATGTATGTAGTGGAGTATTTATCAGTAGATTTACTGATGACAATCCTTATTCATGCTATTTCAGTATAGTACTACATATTTCTGTTTAGATATGAATCCAATTCTGTATGAAGAAGCAAAGCTAGTGATGAATGGTATAGAACCAATGTACAGTGAGACAATGGCTGATGTTAGTAATCCTAATTATGAATCTTGTGCTTCAATGGCTGATGCCAGTAATTTTAGTAATCCTAATTATGACTCTTGTGCTACAGGAGGTATAGACACTAGATCAACATTATTCATTTATATAAATGTTATCTTATGCCTCAAGTAGGTATTAGATCTATGCTTTTGTATGAAGAGCCAGTAGCAACTACAAAAAGACAACAAAAAGTAAAATAACAATAACATTGACCTACAAGTCAACAACAACACACCTTACTGTCAATACTGTGATACACTACTGTGCCACATGTCATGTTATTAATAAAATGATCTACTAAAATAGCCTGTTTACTGTTTTGTAGGTTGGCCAAATTAAAAATGAAGCTTACAATTCACTAACAGATGTACTTCTCTGTGTACCGACAGCAGTATGTTTACAATAATAGCCATGATGAAAAATCAATAGCAATCATAACTTTAGACTGAGCGTTTGGGTGAAAATGAAGAAGATATTTATTCCTCATTGATGAATGAGCAGGTACCACACACAGATAATAACATTACAGTATAGTATAACACATTGCATTGATAGTATTCCTCTCCATATTCAA